AAGAGCTGAAGTGGAGAGATGAGAGACACCTACGCGAACAATATTGTGCTAGCAAAGTCAATGAAGTATAATTGACTGATTCAAAAGTAATAGGGTGCACCTATGTCAGATCTCGACGAAGATCAGGTCGCGCAAGCCAAAACCGAGCGAGATTACGTCAGTACACTGATTCGCAATTTGTCGCCACCGCATAATAATGTTGCGTAATCGAGCCTGCAATGTTTACTGAGCGAATTATATCTCCGAGTATATGGCTAGGAAGAATGGAAATTCCTACGAAGCGGTGACGCGAGTATAATTATGCCTAAGCAAAGTAAAGTGGCAATTGAATGGCTATCTAGCATGAATTTGTTGCAAAGAGCAAATGCTGTTGTAATTAATGTATAAAAAGCGTAGATCAGTGCGTTGAGCCGTTTTCTCTCTATAATGTCAACAAATTTGGGAATATATCGAAAGTAAGGACGTATGTTTCATTTATAATTATTTTGAGAGTGGAAGATTGTTGCTCCTTTATCACAAATACAAGAAACCATTAAAAAGTTGAATGCGCAGTATCGTGATAAGATTCATTTTTTTCTATTATTAATAGATGTAGCACAGCGTTATTGACGTAAAAACGTTATGACGCTAAGATGTGACAGTAAAATTGACGTCAAAGTCTCACACGATCAATTATCAATGAATTACGTCATGTCACCTGTCGCCGTGGCGAATTCAAGCAAGGAATATTTGATGAAAAAAAAATGATTGAACTTTAAAGTACTAATATTAGAAAATTTGATGTGAAAAATATCTTCTCGCGAAGAAAAAATACAAAATAGCTAAAAGCTTCAAGATTATCTCGATTCAAGATTAATTTTGTTCTAACGAGGTCAGAGGGCATAGAAGATCGAGTGATTAGGGACAATAGCGAATCGGATATGAGAAGTCAAGTATCTGATCCGAGATAAAATTTATTTAATCGAGATAAAAGAACCTTTTTTTTATGCAAAAGCTTAATACATTACATTATTTTTGCGATTATAAATATTATCTCATTTAACGAAAAGAAACTCGAGATGGTCGGTATTATTTTCAAATTATCTCTGTTGTTTCTTCTTATATTGTATATATTTGTTACATGTACACTGAAATTGAAATTGTAATCTGTATTAATGACTTTTAGTATAATTAATTTGCAAATAGAAGTTGATAGTATAATACAACTCGCCGAAATTATTAAATGAATAATATAAACAACCATAAAATGAATATAATATTATCAATCATCATTTTTCGCTTACAAATATATAAATAGTAAGATAAATAAGAAATGTCGCATACAATTTTGCATCTGTTAAAATGAATTTCACTCGCGATATATATATACCATAATCTGATCTCACTTTTTCTGATTTTGAAAGTTCTCGGGAATCTTCTTAATCAGACGTTGTGGAATTGCGGAAATTTTCCTAACGAAATACACCGCTAGAGACATGGATATTTTAATACATAATCAGTGAAAACATGATACTAGATAGGACTCGTTTCAGCTACTTCTATAGCTAGTTAAAAAAAACTTGCTATCATTAGTGTGTTCATATAAATGTAATTACTTCTTTTATCTCAATAAATAATGTGCGTATGATAGTTTATCGCAAAATTAACTGTCTTCACAAACTATTATATAAGATAGTTTTATATATATATATAAAATATATATATAAAATAGGGGTTATTTAATATTTATCGCATCTTTTCAATTTTAATTACATCAATGAGCTTTTTAAAAATACATTGGTATATTCATATTTTACACATTCTTGTAACGTAGGAGCAATTTGTTGCGTATATAGACTTCATATTCACAAAATATTGCACGAATATTCACTCTTATTAACTCGTCGCACATGCTTATCCTTTGAATTTTGAAGTCTTTCACATGTAATAAAGGTGATTATCAACGTAAAAATTTATTTAAATTTATCGCAAATTGCATTTTAATGCAATACCTCAATTTTAATATTCTTTATGGGAATGAGGCATAATCTTATAAGCTGATAATTAAAGCTATATTAAACGAAATAATAGCTATTTCAATATTTTAATTATTATATATTTGTTTAAGTTGAAATTGTCAGTAGTTGAAGTATCTTTGTGAATCAAATTTTAAGAGAATATGTATAGATATTTATTGATTAATTTTATTAAACTTTATTTTGATAGAAATCTAGTACTTGAATTTTAATGGATATGATCTGTTAGATATTAGAAAACTGATACATTGATTGTACCGATAAAAGACATTCGTAAGAAAGAAATAATGTATATGTCACTGTAAATCTTTAATTGAGTTCTCGTCATTTAGGTCAATCATAAATGATTAAGTATTATAAAATGTAGAGATCAATATTAGTAAAAGAGATTAGAAGAGTAACGAAATATTTACATAATTTAATATTTTAACAATATAATAAGAATTTAATATTTTAACAATATAAATGGGACTAAAATTTCTTTCAGTAGAAAAGTTCTGGGAAAGAATAATGATGTATATACAATATTTTCTAATAACGTTATTAAATGAAAGTTATATATGAGCTTTAATCAATTAATCATATCATATTTTGATTATAAATAGGTAATTGTATAAAATTACAAATAAAATAATGAATAAGATAATATATAAATTTTTTAAATATTAATTTATAACGTAAAAAGATATATAAATAATTTTTTGTATTTTTATTTTATTAAGCTTAAATTTTTTAACAATTTTATTCAATTCTTCCGTTTATTTAATAATAAATATATTATATACATACCTATACATGCGCGCGTATTTAGATACATTTGTATATCACATATATTAACAACTCTTGTAAAAAAAATGCTTTCCCGCGTCGCAGCAATAGCTGAGAGTAAAAAGTTTCGCGGAATCATTGCTTTATTCTACAAACCACTTCATCTAGTTTTCTATTTCATCCTTAGAGCTTTACTTTTATGTCTAGTTATGTAAAAAGTATGTGAAAAGGGGAATTAAACATGACATGACAGGAAACTAAATGCAAAATTTAGAGCAAAAAATTTCCATGGAGAACAGTAGTTTATAAAATAATTCTAGGGAATAATAAATCCGTTCTATACATTTGTTCTCATTCATAATAAATTTATTAATATGTTTTCTTTCTTTCTCCTTTTTCTTTCTAAAAATTTGCATATTTTGATTTATATAAAACATATAAGGAGTTTTAAATAAATCACAGTTTTATCTGTAATAGAATGACGAATTGTTTCAAGAAATAAAATAAAGCATTGCACTATTAAATCTATAGTATTAAATTTTATCTAATTTAAGTTGCCACTACTGCTACTCAATATATCGTTTATACTAAATTATACTACTTTATACTAAAATAAAATGGACGAACTTTTGACATTATATAGTATCAAATTAATACTATTAAATCTATATGGTGTCAAATTTAAGTTACCACACTAAAAGCAATTTTGCTGAAGTATCTAAAAATTTAGCTAGATATAGATCTAAAATATAACTTTGTTGGACCATCAAAACAATTATTATATTAGACGATAAAATTGGTTACTAGACTATCAAAACATTTTGCAGCATTGTTCATCATATTTAAGATTCCTGCAAAATTATTTTGATGGTTCAATTAAATTATTTTTAGATCTGTAGATCTAACCAAATTTTTAGACTCTTCAACAAAATTGCTCTTTCAGTGCATTACTCTTACTCAATATATCGTTATTTTATACTAAAACAATAGCTAAATTTTAACACTATACAGTATTAAAAATTTGTCCATTGTCATTTTATGCTAAATAAAAACCATCGTTATTTTATACTAAAACAATGGATAAATTTGATTCTATACAGATTTATCGATTGTTTTAGTATAAAATAACGATATATTGAGTAGGAGCAGTGGCGACTTAAATTAAGTTAAATTTGTTAGTATTTAGATTTCACAGTGTAGAATGGTATGCACATTGCGAAATATGCATACTGCCAAATATTTGTTGCCAGGAAGAATTGTTAGCAATAATCAAGAAGATGACGCGAGATCTACGTTTAGAATAAATCTATTCCTTACGTCAACGTCACTTAGCGATAACAATGTTTCTAATGGCTGCATTCAGCAGAGAAAACTAATCAGTTAGCGCTTAGTGATTCTTTAATACGATTGGTTCCTACACTTAGATTTAACGAAGAACTAAAGGCAAGAATCAATTATATTAAAGAATCACTAAGCGCTAACTGATTAATTTTCTCTGCTGAACGCAGCCATTATTTCTGTTATAGCTTAATCTGTTACATTAAATGTAATTAAATTATAGTCAGAATACTCATTATTTAATATTAATTCAATGTTGCATGTAATAAATAAAATGAGAAGAAAAGGGAAATGAAGAAATTTTGCATATTGATTCTGAGACATTCTCAATCGCGCATTATGTCATCTTAGATTTTGAAAAGGTCATTATGCTAAACACATATTATGAGAGAAACTTTTATTTGGAATGCACGTTTATGTGGATGCTGCAAAGATTAAAATGATTATAATTGACAGCGAAAGAAAAAGAGAAGAAATATATTGAACATTTATAGGGTATTCCGATAGCTGTACGTAGAATTTATTGAAAACAATTAAAAGCTTATTCACGTTTTTCTAGTTTTTAACATATTTTTCCAATTTTAACATATTTTTCCAATTTTTATTTAGGGCAAAGTTGACTATACTCATGTAATTTAAGTCAACTTTATCGTTACGATTGTCATGTAGGTATAGAGCCGGACTAAGCCAATCAAAGTTACTTGAATAGAACCATACTATTGGTGCAACAGATCTGTAAACAAACGCGACTCACGATCTACGCGTCATGCACGCACGTGGACGTCTATCCCTTCTTCCTTCACGTGAGAACGTGATCAAAAGTGACGCAACAACACACGAGGGTGGAACTTTTTTTCGGATTGTGATGTTCTTACTTACTCACTATGGCAGGCGAGGATAGCAATCTCTCACAGGAACTTTTCTCTTTTTCCGCTTCTCTCCCAACTAACCGCGCTGGGAGATCCCTTCCAGCAAAGAAAGTGTGTCCTTCGCCGAGGGTACCGATAGGTTGAGAATAGTCGACGCGATTGGCAGATTCTCTCTTTTTTCTCACGATTGAAGGCGCGACGTGTTGATAGGGGTGCGAGATACGCGTTGGTCGTTGTCGTAGGGTTGTTTGAAGCGAGGATTTTCGCGGCATCGTACCCGACGCGAGATTACTCTTCCCTACGTACGCATGATCACCAATCCCTTCCGCATCTCTCAGTTAACCTTCGCAGTGCTCTCTATGAGCTTGCGAACGGAGTCGATGGAAATGGAAATCGACGACGATCAACCGTCGCTTCCCGCATCGCTCGGTCGACTGACTAGTTTAACTGGACTGCCTCCCCGTACACTCGGAGATTTTATTCCATCCCCACCAGAATCTGCCGGCGCCCCCTTTACTGACAAACCCCCACTCATGACACCCACTCACGATCCGACGTAGGTGCTCGGGGGTGCGTGAACGTTGAGGTGAACGCAAGTCTAATCGTTGACCATGTAATTGATAGTTGACCGTATCATCCAAAGATCAATTAAAGGTCTGTTTCTTATGACAAAAATAATTGTCTAAAAAGAGCAATGTTTAGCTTAACGTTATTAACGTGTTATTGACAGCCGATCCTGTCACCTGGATAATTACAGAGTTTTTTGTTAAAGTATAATTATTTTACAGTGCAATGATTTTGCCTTAAATTCATAATCATGTTGTACTTCCAGGGTCATACAATATGTCCCTGAAATTATAATATGAGATTGATTAAAATCAAATTACTCACATTTATATTTGATTATTCTTATTTTTATGAAATAATTATCAAGTTTGTATGTTTGATTTGTATGATTGCAACTCTTTTAAAGTCACTTACAGTCACTTTAGAAGCAACTGAGAAAAAAGGGTGCACCTTTCAACTACTGTCCGTATAGTGAAAAGTTTTAAACTTTAAAACCTCTCAATTACTTGGACCAACTCTTTTATGTAACTAATAACTATATCCAATTTAAGCACTCAGAGTACTTACAAGAAGATTCTCTCTGCCTATAGAGATATGAGAGGAGACTTACGTCTCAAACTTTGTTCAAAGCTCAAAGTCTTCTGAGAACGTGCCAGCATTTAAGAAGTTTCACCTTTACTGTAAAAAGTTCCAAAATTTTTTATATCAGCTTTTAGTAAAACATTTTGTGTTTTAATTTATTTATTAATAAATAATTATCTTTTTTTTTTATGAAACGTTAATTACATTCTATATATTAGGTGTTGGAATTAATTCGTAGCGTTTTTAATGAAATAATGTTATTTATTTCACATGAGCATTAAAAAATACATTAATGAAAGTACTTCCCATCACTTGTAAAACGCTACGAATTAATTCCAACACCTAATATAATAATCCCCCATCTATAACAAATTATGTTTTAACAATTTATTTACTTTCTTAATTATAATTTTTTGAACTCATCCAAACTATCTCTGTGAAATTCGAAATATCCCATTTTTAAATATGATTCATAGATTATGTGTGTGTCTAAGTTCTAAAACTTTGTGAAGATATATGGATTGAATTTTTCTCATGTGACCAACCACTTACATATCGCGAAAAATTTTTCTTATTCGTGGACAAATCGCTTTCCAAGTTTATGTTCAAGGTTACGAGGCAAAATAGCGGCGTACTTACGTCACAAACATCGATTCGCGTTCATTGACCTACCTAATTCTAGGCGATCGTGAATGTATCATCGTTTCGTGAATCAGACAATCCTCCTACTCATGAAAAAGACCTTGCCTATTACATCTTACATAAATCGTGGTGATTATCATTATATGAAAAAAGCCTCTTATCGTCTTGCCAATCTTTTCTTGAACATTAAAACTTCGATATGATTGTTCGGACACAGTCGACCATTTATAATCCATCTCATTTCTCTTTCTTGGATATACGATTTATTGATCGCCATTTCGGGTGGTTAAAAGACTTAAAAGCTCAATATCGAGGAGTGGGGAATACTATAGCGCACCTGTCCAATTGTGCTGCGTGGATTTTCCGCTGCAATATTTTCTCTCTGTTGTCGCTAATTAAAAAGTTCCACGAGTTGCGCTAACGATTCGTACTGTTCTACTCGAACTCGGCCTGGGTTTCATTCACGCATACGTTGCAGGTCAATATAGCTGTCCATGTTCTCATTTTGCAATTGTAATAATGGCGGCCATTGTAAGAGTTACAGTTATTAATAATATTTTGATTAACCAGTAATGTATACGTAATTTTCGCAGCTATTAGAAAACTTTAATTTCCAATAAAAACGGTAGCAAATAGTAAATATCTCTCACTGATTTATAAATAGTAAATATCTCTCCCCCTGATTTATAAATTATGCTCTTGCGTGGAAATTATTGGAATTATTAATTTTTTTGAAATCGTTTGTTACTGATATTTTTAGCAAATTGTTGTAAATTGTAAACTGAAAATATACGCTAATATATTGTTTTCAATTATTCAAAAATTGCTGCTATATTAATGATTATTGAGAATATCTGAGTATAAATAGATTATTTATCGATGATAAAACAAACTCGAGCGATAGAAAGTCATTTGAAATAAATTATTAATTTTAAAAACTACAAGAATAGCTTATTTATCAATACAATTATATTGAGCTTTAGTTATAGATTTTATGAAAATCCTTCGATCGCATGCATTATAAATCTCTTCCTACATATACCTACATGTAACATTGCCCTAGTTTCGATTTAATTATGTAACAACGTAATAAATTCCTGAACGCATCGTAAACGTAAACAACATAGAACTAAGATACAAGATGGTTAATGCTGATATTATTAATATCGCGATACGTATTATGATAATACTACACACGTGTAATATTACATGGTCTTTTCATGATAATTAACTTTCAATAGCAGCAGCTTAATAAATTCAATGTCAACGGGCTGTATCATTCGAAATATTCTTGAATATTTCAGCTTATATAATTTGTGGTCATATATTAACGAGTCAATAAAAGCGTGACACGACAAACTGTTGACACGTAGAATTAATCTATAAACGACACACGGCGCTGCAAACTGCGTCGCCACACTCTCATCGATCACGGCTGCTTATACAGGTGTATAGCTTGTACACAAGCTCATACAGACACAGCGTATTATTGCCAATTTATCAAGTGCTACTCCTCCTTCGTATTGAATTAGACAGTAAACAGATTTAATCTTAACCAGAAACTAGGAATACACATGGCTATCGGATGAAACAAATTGAATTTTAATTTGATTGAGAAATTTCTCTTTCACAATTTATTCCTATTTTTTATGAATGCTTGTCACTTAACGAGAAAATTTTATCCTGGAGAATTTGACAAAATTAAAAGTAATTAAAGTTGAGCTCTTGAGATAAAAATTAAATGAAATAACAATAAAAGAAAACACGGGCAATTAAGAACTTAAATTCGCAGTAATTGGAGCGATTATACATATATTTCTCAGTACTATATATATACCAAACATCTTGGTAGTCTCGTATAATACAACTTCCTTAATATAATTCAAGTAATTGCAATGACTAAACCGAAGTTCGCTTGAATTAAGCCGAAACGTTCAGTATTTGTTATATATATGTAGTACTGAGAAATATATGTTGATATAATCGCTCCAATTACTGCGAATTTAGGCTCTTAATTGCCCGTATTTTCATTTATTATTTAATTTTTGACAAAATTAATAAATTTAAGAGTATAGTAATTTAATAGTAGAAGACATAAAAAGTCTGATACACACACGTATATGTATACACAATGCATAAAAATAATAGTTTTTAAAATTCCGTTTAAATTAAAAAGAACACTAGTTATAAAATCATATTATCCTTGAAAATCGGTTTAGTTTTGCAGTGAGGAAAATTGATCTTGTATCGATCATATTACCAGTTATCAAATATCTCAAACGTATACGTAACTCGCGTCGTTTTCTCAGCGATACCAACCGCACAAATCAGTCATACGGTTTTAATAAACTTCGCCTCCGGAGATGTCGGCACGCAATCACTCGTATAACAGGCGATATTTCAGCGTGGTCGGATTACAGGTAGCGGAATCGCATAGGGAGTAATAGACCGTAGACGAAGAGACTCTTCGTCTACGAGTACATCGTCGACGATCATCGACTATCAGTTGGACTCGAGAGATCGAATCTCAATTCGGTAGAAATGAAATTCCTCGGCTTACCTCCACTTCATGCGGCGTCCAACTTCGTAAAATACCGCGTAGCCGCTTGCTGTGAATTCGCGAGATACCGGATATCTTATGCATTTCCAATAACGCATCGCACTCTCTCCATTAATGTGCATTACCGTGCATTTTTCGCTAATAATTTTTATTTCCTTTTTTTCTTTTGCTGTCTCGTCTCCGGTAACTCGAGACTCGCGTTTTATTAAAAATCCGAAGTGCGAATCGCACTTGCTATTGAAGTGCATAAAAAATGCACTAATATCAACATTACTCTGTAATATCCCAGGTAACATCTATTGGTTCACGTACGTTTTATATACGTTTTCTAAACATATCTAATGTTCCACAAACGTTTAAGAAACGTATATAAAACTAACATGTGTTACTGAGGATACGAAGAAATAGAAACTGATTTTAATTTCATGATACATTTGTTAAATCTGTTTTATTATGGGTATACATAAAAAAATAAGAATATAAATGTGTAAAAAATGTGATATCATGTTTATGTTAATAATAATTTACTTAATATCTATTTGAATTTCTCGAGTTTAATTTGTCAAAGCATTTCACTAATGATCTCTTATGAAATTTGTATGGAAGTTAGAAATACTGCTTTTCGCTCTTTCATTATTACTTTTTGTTTTTTTAATATTTCGATTAAAAGGAAAGATTGTGAATCTCCGACATTCAGTAAGTGACTTACTTGACAAATCTGAAATTTTTAGAACTATGTTGCACAGTTTTTGTTTTTTGATTATTTACACTGCACGTCTAAGTAAATGATAGGCCATCCTATTTCCTTCTGTAAGCAGTTGGATAATCTGTGAGAACACTGCCGGTGGAGAGTATGGCCCCCGGTCCGCCGAGAATGCCGCCTTTGTTGGCGAACCAGCCGTTACCGCCCAAAAAACCAGCCGGTTCCAGCCGGTTCGTATAGAAACCAGAATCATTAGGACCCAAGAAATGCAATAGGCCGGATGCACTTAGCTGTTTCGCCGTCACGTTTTGTACGTTGATTCCTAGAATGTTTAGCACATCTTTCAGTAGCGGTAGACGATCGTTCAGGAACGATTGTGGCGAGATTTGGATTTTCTGCACCAGCGGTGT